GTCGTGACGTTTTTTTATTCGTAATGATAAAGAAGTAGTGGTTGTAGTCTGTTGATGATAAATTTTTAAGAGATAGGATATTAAATAATCGTAGCCCATCCCCTAAGCTCCTGACCTGTCCATGTCCGTCACCATCCCCTCCTCAAAAGCAGCAAGATACAACCCCTTATCCAGACAACACCCCTCCACTCCCCGGTAAAACACCCCTTTTCCCTCCTTCCTGCCCGCACAGAAACGAACAAAACCCCTCCAGATCTCCCCATTCCCTTTCCCGCTCCCCGTGATGGCAGATTCAAAAGCTTTTTTAACCGAGTGGGCACTCCCGTTGTGGACTTCATGCATGATGGCAAACCGCCGGGTGCTGAGGGAGTCATGTCCAGGTTGGAGGGCGATGGTTTGGAGAAGCTCCCTGACTGGATCCTTGACCAACAAAGGGGGTTGTGCCCAGGATAGGAGTTCGAGAAAGATGGTGTTGGAAGGGAAGAGCTCCAGGTGAGAGAGGACAGTTGAACAAAAAAGCGCCGGGCGGTAAGGCCCTGTCTGGGAGTGGTGGTGTGACAGCCTGCAGGCGGTTTGCAGGAGCTTTTCCAAACAGGGGGTGGATTCTAAAGAGCGGGAGGTGAATTTCTGGGTTATATCTGTGATTGCACCCAGGGCTGATGAGATGTTGCCTTGGGAGGACGAGGTTGGTTCACTGGGAGGAGAGGAAGGGGAGAGGTAGGCTAGTAAGAGGAGACTCTCCGCGTGGGCGGCGGCGGTGGGGAGGGAGAGGGAAGAAAGGGAAAAGTCGAGGGTGGTGGAGAATTGAGACCGAGCTCTGAGGAGCGTTGCTGGGGAGGGGGGAGAGGAGACGGAGGGGTCGACTGAGCGGCAGAGGGTCGTCAGGGCGAGGTCGTTGCGGGAGGAGAGGAGGTGGAGCCAGGTTTGGGTGTTGAACAGGAGCTGGCTGTTGGGGAGGTTGGTGGCTGAGTCGAGGATTTTGAAAGCGAGTTCCGGGTTGTTGTTGGAGTGCTCCAGCAAGGCGTAGGCGTTGTAGAGGGGGGTGTTGGTGGTGTATTGCTTGAGCAGAGTTTTGGCAACCTTTTTGGTGGTTCTGGCGTCGGTGTTGAGCCAGACCGTGGCGAGGTAGATTTCTGCTAGGTCTTCACGGTGGTGGTCTGTGACTAGTCGTTCGAGTGTGGCTAGCACCCATGGGAGGTCGAGTTGGGTTTCTTCAGGGGGGTGGGTTTTGTCCCAGGAGTCCAGGCATTTGAACCAGCCCTCCCTGGTGAAGAGAAGCTCGGGTGAGGTGGCCATGTCACCGCCTTGTTGAGCGAATTCAGGGGGGCGTTTTGACAGAACAACATCCACGCTCTCCGTGTTTTGTCCCTCGCGTCTCTCCCAAGGCCGGAAAGCCTGGCTTTTGGGAGCCAAGAATGGATCTCGCCGCCAGTCCTTCACAAACGGTTCCTCACAACCGGAGGGAATCCCAACAAACACCCCAAACGCCTCCACCACCAATTTCTTCGCAGTGTCCAAAACCCCGGCCGGGAACCAGACGACAAAGTCCTTGATATCCCCCCACATCACCACCCTAAACGGATCCTCATCAACCCCCTCATCCAGCGTCCTCGCCGGCATCCTCGTCTTCGCAGCCCGCTTCGTTTCCACAGCCGCCCAGAGCTGGTACGGATCTTTATAATCCTCAACATCAACCCCATCCCTTTTGTCCTCAAACCTTGGATCAGGCGGCAACTCATCCCCCCCACTCTCAACAAAACACCTCCACCCCCTCGCCCCCTCCTCCCCAAACCTCGCAACTTCACTCTCCCAAAACTCTTCAAACCCCTCCGCCGATGTCGCCGTGCCGGGCCGGCAAAACGTCATCTCCAACAACGCCTGCCAAGAAGCCACCGCCCGCTCGGTATACCCAGCCTCGAACAACAGCTTTGTCAGGCGTAAAAAGACATAGACAATCTGCCGGCACACCTCCCCCCTTTCATCCCCCTCCTCCACCCCAACCAACCCCCTTGACAAACCCCCCAGCTTCTCAACAAACACATCCCTCATCCTGTCCACCGTACACGACCCCACCCTCCCCATCTCCCAACCCACCCTCGCGCGCCACAGCTCAAAGCTCCCGTCCGGTGCTACGCCATACTTTTGCGGGAGACTCTCCCACTTTTTCGCAGCGGTTTTGTCATCCCATATGTTAAGCCCCGTGGTCATCATGCCTAGGATCAGAACCTCCTTTTCACCACCAGATCGAGATGGCAAATGGGCAAGCGCTTCCTGATAAAGCGACAACTTCAACTCGGCAAGGGCGATGGTTTCATTGCTTGTCCGGGGACGGGAATGGCCAACGTCTTGGGCAAAGAGGGCGTCTTGCAGGGAGATCAGCCGGAGCCAGGAGGGGATGTCGGCGGGTGAGGAGCGGAGGTGGCGGGTGAGGGTGACGGATTCTTTTCTGGCAGAAGAAAGCTCTTTTTTCTCTTGTTCTGGGGATGAGGTCTCCGAATCTGAAGACTCAGACTCGGAGTCTGATGGGGGAGGTTTGGCCTTGCCGTAAATAGACCTGTAGTCTGGCTTTCGGTCCTGTTGATCCTCCGGGTCTGATGATGAGGGGCTTTCCCGGCCGCGTTTTCGCTTTTTGGAGGAGGGGGGTGTCAAAGAGATGAACTGGTCTGTTGGTGAGGGAGGTGGTTTGGTGGAGGACCTGATCCGGCGAGATTTGGCGCGTCGGATTTGTGAGAGGAGGGCTTTGTCCCTGAAGGCCGAACCCAGACCCTCGCGGGAGAAGGAGAGAGAAAATAAATCTCTGGGGCCGTCACGGTGGAGGATGAGATGGCCTCTTGACCCTAGGATTTTGCCATGGCCAGAGCGGTGGTAGGCTGGGATCTTGGAGCGGTCGTTGCCGCTGTAGCGAAGGATGAGAGGGTCGCCTTTTTTGTCAATGAAGAAGTTGTCGCTGAGAGTCTTGGGCTGGACCGAATCCTCTCTTGAGCTATGGTGCTGCTCCCTGTCTTTGGGCCTTTTCCTGTCTCGATCTCGGTCTCTCTCACGGTGCCTGTCCCGTTCTTTCTCACCATCCCCATCCCTGCTCCCACTTCGTCTTCTGTCTCCGTCCCTCTCACGATCCCGACGACGTTCATCTCCCCGATTCCGAGAATCACGGCGTCTCTCACGGTGACGGCCATCATGCCCCCTTTTGGATTCCCCACCGGGGTCCCCGTGCCGGTCTCTGACAGATTTCCGCGCCTCCCCCGATGCGGGCCCTGCTTCGGGCTTGGGTGTGGGTTTCGGCTGGAAGGATCCGAACTTGGGCACGGGGCGTTGCCGTTTCTGCTCCTCTTTTGACGACATCGTACGAGCTGATGCTGTACTGCCTCTCCTCTCCTCTCCTCTCCTCGCCTCTCCTCGCCTCTCCTCGCCTCTCCTCTCCTCTCCTCTCCTCTCCTTCCCCCGCTTAGCCTCCTGGTGTTTGTGATTGAGTCATGCAAACACGCGACGTTTGAGTTGAGTGTCGGATGATGGAGATGGGGTATGTATGGGGCTTGACATGAAAAAGAAAAGAAGCCCGTCTATTCTGTCGGTAGATAAATAATTGGTGTCGTCTTCAACCAACGGTTACACTTCAACGGGCCGCCCGTTGGATTTGTTTGTTGGTGCTGGTGCTGGATCACTGTGAGATTCCCGAGTGTCACTGGCATTTCCCCAGCTTTCAGGCCTCGATTGCCTGCCGGGAGGGACCCTTTACCGCAACAGTCGCGGCACCGGCGCCTAAAAAAAAGATGACCAATGACAGACGCAGGATGCGCAATCGGGGGGACCACTATGACATAGCGTGTTTCCCCCCCCCCGACAGAAGAACACCGGCTCCGGGTTCCTGGACCGAGGCGGCCGCTTTGTTCCCGTCTGATCAGGTTGTTGACATTGACTGATTGACTGACAAGTGAATGAGAGTGATATTGACACCAGATCATACAGTCCAAAACAGGGAAGAAGGCTGCCAGAAAAGCAAATCATCTGAGCAAGCACCGCCGCGAGCCTATGACGCCAAGTGAGACACTCGCTGTATGCACAGTGGAGCACCACCTAACACCACCACCTCCAACAGGGACTCGATAAACTGGGGGCTTAGCCATCCATCCAACATCTGCTTCCCCCCAACCACCACCTACCTACCGAACTGACCAGAAATTCCCGGTGAACAAGGCCGCCCACATTGCGGCGGAGGTGCTTTTCTTTTTTTCTCCTTCCTCTCTTTTTGAAGAAAATGTGTTGGATAGGATAGTTGCTTGTGTTTCCTGCTCCTTCTTTTTTTCTCCGGCTTTTTCCTTCCCTCACGCGATATACTGCCGTATCACAACACCCGTTGGAAACCCGCATCCTGCACCTACCCGTCCAGGTCTCATGGCCCTCCAACTCAGAAACTAATACCGACGTAATCTCGACTCTCGATTTCCTGATTTAACCTACCCTCTTCAAACCGGGCAAGCAAGCAGCGACCTGAACAAGTCTTGCGCCTGCCGCCGCCGCCGCCGCCGATCGTCTTATCAACAACACCACCTGACACCTCATCATCTCCACTGTCATCATGACAGGAAGGAGACACACCCCGCGCCTGCGGGACGTCTTCCGAGATGCCTCCGGAGGGACTGATACAGACAGCAACAACAGCAACAACAGCAACAACAACAACAACAACAACAACAACAGCAGCAGCAACAACAACAACGAAGAATCAAATCAACCCTCCCAATCATCCCAATACCTCTCCCTCCCCAGCTCCCCAACCTCCTTCCGCCGGCCCCGCATCATGTCCCGTCGACCGTCCAACTCGGAGGGCGTCCCGGACGAGCGCACCTCCCTGCTCGGCGCGAACCGGACGTCGCGGATAAGAATCGCGAGTGCGCATGGGTCACCTAGGGTGCCGCATCTGTCTAGGAACCAGAGCTACGCCGGTGTGTCCCCCTCCTTACGTTGCCCTTTGGCAGTCATCACTGACGGTGCTATCTACAGACAGTGTCAAATCCCACCGCCACCACTCCCGCGCCAACTCGTGGGGCTCCCGCCTCATCCAAGCCCTAGGCGACAGGCAAGAATCCTACGGCGGCATCGCCGACTCCAAATCCTCCCTCTATCCCGACGACCGCGTCTGGTACGATCAATTCACCTCGACCGACTGGGTCCACGACTCCATCGCCGACGCCTACCGCGTCAAGGCCCTCAGGCAGAGAAAAGATTTCTGGGGGAGGGTCTATGTTCTTTTTGACGGGGCTCAAGGTTGGATCCTGAGCGCCTTGGTCGGGTTCATCGTTGCGGTGCTGGCTTACGCGGTGAACGTGAGCGAGGCGACGGTGTTTGACTTCAAGGATGGGTATTGCCAAAAGGGGTGGTTGATCAACGAAAAGAGGTGCTGCCCTCACGGGCCTTGCGTTGACTGGAGGGATTGGGGCGAGGTGTTGAATGGGTGGCCGTTTGGCAAGGATTGGACCGAGTGGTTTGTTTACATTGTCATGGTGATCGCTTTGGCGGTGGCGTCTTGTCTGATGACGCTGACGACCAAGACGGTCGTGCCTTCGGCGTATCGGCTCACGACGCTGGATGAGAACCTGGCGGCGGAGAATGCTGCGCACATGGGGGATCACGATAATGACGATGGTGCTAACATCAGCCCGCGCCACTCGTGTGTCGATGGGCAGGGGTCGTCGTCTGCGGAGAGCGCGCCCATGATTTACTACTCCGCCGCCGGGAGTGGTGTCGCCGAGGTGAGGGTCATCCTCAGCGGTTTTGTTCTTCACGGCTTCTTGGGTCTCAAGACGTTGCTGATCAAGAGCTTGGGGTTGATCCTCAGTGTGGCGTCTGGTTTGTCGCTTGGCAAGGAAGGGCCGTATGTGCATATCGCCACCTGTGTCGGGAATATCGCTTGCAGATTGTTTAGCAAGTATGACCGGAACGACGCCAAGAGGAGGGAGGTCCTTTCTGCTGCCGCGGCGGCTGGTGTGGCGGTCGCTTTTGGCGCGCCGCTGGGGGGGGTGCTGTTTGGGCTGGAGGAGGTTGCGTATTTCTTTCCCGCCAAGACGCTGTTCAGGACGTTTTTCTGCTGCATCACGGCGGCGTTGACGCTCAAGTTTCTGAACCCCTACGGCACGCACAAGATTGTCATGTTTCAGGTGAGGTATCTGGTGGATTGGGAGTATTTCGAGATTGGGAGCTTCATCCTGGTGGGGGTTTTGGGAGGAGCGGCGGGAGCGTTGTTCATCAAGGCTTCGAGGCGCTGGGCCAAGACGTTCAGGCGGATCCCCGTCATCAAGTCGTACCCGCTGCTGGAGGTGGTGCTGGTGGCTTTTGTGACGGGGTTGATTGGGTACTGGAACGTGTTTACAAAGTTGCCGGTGGCGAAGTTGCTGTACAACCTGGCGGCGCCGTGCGATGACCGGGATAACAACCTGGAGGATCTGGGGTTGTGTCCGGAGAGGGCGGAGGACATCCCGCCCGTGTTGAGGGATTTGCTGACGGCGTTTTTGATCAAGGGGTTCTTGACCATCATCACGTTTGGTATCAAGGTGCCGGCGGGGATTTATGTGCCGTCCATGGTGGTGGGTGGGTTGATGGGGAGGACGATTGGGCACGTGGTGCAGTGGTGGGTGATGGCGACGAGGGAGTGGCCGGTTTGGGGGACTTGTTCGGCGACGAGCGCGACGTGTATCCAGCCTGGGGTGTATGGGTTGATTGCGGCCGGGTCGACCATGTGTGGGGTGACGAGGCTGTCGGTCACGCTGGCGGTCATTCTCTTTGAGCTGACGGGGAGTTTGGACTATGTCTTGCCGTTTTCGCTGGCGATTCTGGTGGCCAAGTGGGTGGCTGACGCGATTGAGCCGCTGAGCATTTACGACTTGCTGACCGAGATGAACTCTTACCCCTTCCTCAACAACAAGCACAAGCCCGTCTTCACGTCGGAGCTGGCGGACATTGTGCCGAGGGTGAGGAAGGAGAGGATTATTGACATCAGCACCAGCCCTGTGGTGCCGGCGATGAGCCTGAGGACGAAGCTGGAGCTGCTGCACCGGGCGGGCGAGCTGGACGGGGGGTTGCCGATCGTCAGGCACGGCATCCTGGTGGGGTTGATTCCGGCGCCGGATTTGGAGTACGCGCTGGATAATCTGCAGGATGAGGGATCGAGCCTGTGCCTGATGGCGAGCGTGCCGACGATTGACGACTCGGATGATGGGATGCCAGATCCGACGGATTTCACGCCGTACATTGACCCTGCGCCGGTGGCGCTGGACATTAGGTCGCCGATGGACTTGGTGTATGAGTGTTTTGTCAAGTTGGGGTTGAGGTATATTTGCATACTGAGGGATGGGAAGTATGCGGGGATGGTAAGTTTTTTTTTTATGTTTCTTTTTTTTGTGGTGAAAAAATGATGAGAGGAAAGAAAAAAAGCTAACATGTGTGGGAAATCATAGACTCACAAGAAGACGTTTGTCAAGTACATGAGGGAGTTGGAGGAGAAGGAGGGACATATGTAATTTTTTTTCCTTGAGGCCGATTACCTTGATAGTCTTGGTGAAAGTACCTGTTGTTACACTGGGGAAAGTGTGTACGATGGTGGTGGTCGGGTGCGTGTGCTACTGCATTTGAATTAAATATGGAGGGGTTAGCATGGCGTTATATTCTTTTTATGGGTTTTATTGTTTTTGTTGAGATTGTTGATGTAATTAGTTTGTGTGCTGTTGAGGTTGGTGTGTGAGGATGAGTTGCTGAGATTGAGACTGAGATGAGATGAGAGGATAGAATGAGAAATGAAGATGAGATTGATGTTTGAATGTGTCTTACTTGGATAGAGCATGGGGTTACGCACAGCTGGTAATGATGGTTTTCTGTAGCTAGCGGCTCTTTAAGGCTGATGATTGAGGTTTATGGCTTTTGAGTCTGGGAGTTTTGGTGTTTATTTCTTTAGCTTTTTGACACTTCGGCATTGACAGTCGTACAGCTATCGCTAATCCTGACCTAGATTGGATAGATTTCTTCGGCCCAAGGTTGTTAACTAGTAACAGTTGTCCATCGTCTCGACGGTGGAGTATTTCTCTCACGGCTTGTCTGCAGGGGTATCTAAACCGTCTTTGACACACTGTAGATGTTAAAACCAGGTCATCATCATCAGATAGTTTCTAACGTGTACAGTCTGGCATAACATAATCTTCCCTTTCCGTTGTGTCCTCTCGCTTGTCGGTCACGGAAACTTAACCACCATTGGGCCACCTGCGGAGATGACCGGGCCAGAGGACTTCGGGGCACGGTCGTCTCCTCGGAGTGTGATGCCATCTTGGATGAGCGAGTGGGCGCGGGTGATGCTGCTTGATACAGCGAGGCCACGCAAGACTGCCTACCCGAGGGCAACCCATCATCATGAGGGCTCGCTGACGGGATCCTATACCGTTGGGCAACCGTGCCGTCAGAGAGACGAGGTGTGGTGACCTTCGGGGTTGCCCAGGCGGCGTCGTTGTGGACGAGAGAGGCAGGATCTTGCTGCTGGGAGAGCCGAGGCACAGGCCAAGCAGAGGTGTCATGCGGGGCGTGGGCGAAAGTCATCTTCGCTTCCATACGGACCGGGCCGGACCGGCCTGCGGGTGGTTGGTTGGCTGCGTGAGCGAGCGAGTGGGAGAGTCAGGTAAGCTGGGACGGACGGATCAGGGTGCGCGAGCGAGCGGGAGAGTACATATACTCCTTCCCATATCATATTGTTGGGATGAAAGGTTTTGGGAGAGGCAATTTGCGATTCTTGACAAGGGTTGTTATCATTGTTAAATATCCTGCTACTCAGGGGTAAACAGGAGAGACTTGACCGAGTTCTTTTTGAATTTTGAATTTTTTGGACGAACACAGCGGAGAAGTCGCGGTGGATTCGTCTTAAATAAAGCATGTACCATGAGCATATGATTAGCAGCCCCAACCTCAGAGTCACATTCCTTCATTTATCTGTATCCTGTGCTTTAGCCCAGTCAGCCTCCTCCGTCACGAGTCCTTTCCCGCCTGAAGGTCCTCTTCCTCCCGTAAATTAATCCCAAGAACTCTTCCTAATCTACTTTTCCCCCACGAACAGAGGCCCAGGTGGGTGGTGGTGTAGAATGGTACCAATGGGGAGGGGTAGAGGGGAGGGGAATCTGTAGGGGGAAGGCGGGTTTTAAAAAAGGGGGGGTTGGTTGGTGGGGCAACGGATAGGGTGTTGGGGGGAAGTAAATAAGGGGTTTGCAACAGAGGTGAATATGATGTGATGACCCCATTACCACAAGCGGAAATCAAAATGAGATTGCAAAAGGGAGAGGCAACATACCCTACACCCTCAGCCCACCCAGCATGCAGTCCCGTCTGGTGGTGTGACGATAAGTACAGACTGTCGATTTGCGACCTGGATGTCAGGCCGAGGGACTCGGAAAAGTAGGCGGCAAAGTTCCTGCGATTTGGGCAATCTCCCAGCTTGTGAGGACCCGTACTCGCCCGGCAGCGGTTTGGTAGTAGTACATTTCGGGCAGGCGGGCGATGCTGGTTGCTTGTGAATATTATCTTGGTCGTTTGTGAACGTCATTGTGGGCGGTGAGGCAAAAGAGTTTCAAGTTTATCGAGATCCCTATATCAGTTTCTTCAAAACACTTCGGCAGCCCCAAAAAAGCCATTTCAACTTTATTTACTCTACCGCGCCGCGTCACCAAGTGCCACGCCGCACGTAATGAAGTGCCAACACCATCTCTAAGATTCACAACCCTCACGTCATCTTCACCAAACCATAACCAACACCAACGACGCAACAAAAGAATTTATCTGAAATGCATCACTTTTTGTCTCTCTGAAGACATAAGAAAATATGTATCTGCACAAGCTCTTGGGGAATTGTATAGGCAATCAATCAAAACCTCCACCCCTCCCATCCTCCATCCCCCCTTCTCTCCATTTCCTCCTCTATCTAAATAGTACACAACAGCCACACTGGCCTCTTGCAAGCCAGAACCTACTTCCGGCCCTTGAGCAGAGCCAAAAACCAATCGACCAGTGGCTTGCGTGCCGTCGTCGTCGTCAGCGTCCGCAAAAAGTCGTTGCTGTCCTGACCAAGCTGGTTTTGGACATGGTTGATATAGAGATCCGCCGTCTTCATCCAGATGGCCTGCTGGATGCCGGCGATTTCGTTGAGGATCTGTCTAGATGTCGCGTCGCTGCTCGGTCGGAACCCTCCGTCCTGCAAAACGTCCCAGCACACGCCGTGGAACTGGGAGAGCATAAACTGCTCAAAGCCGGGGATGGTGGGAGAGGGAGGGCCGGTAGCGACTGGGTTCTCACCCGGGGTGATGATGTCGGGACCACCCCACTGCGTAATCATGCGGCTGAGAACGTTAAAGGCGATCCGGCTGGCCACAAGGTTCCCATGGTTGAGGTTCTTGGCGACGCTGAAGATGGACGACACAAGAGACTCAAAGTTACCCTGGTTGGCCGCAGACACCAAAACGCCTCCAAGATCATTCATGAAGATAACCTGAACAAAAGAAACGTATTCCCGCCTCAGCTCCTGAAGCTGAATTTCATCATCGGTGCCGTTGATCGGCTCAGAAAGGCCACCAAAGACCCGCTGAAGAAGTGGTGTAAGGAGAAGATCGAGAATGTTGGAAATCTCTCCCTTGAAGTTGTATACAATCTGCTCCAGCAGACGAAGGAACATAGCCATCTCGTCCTTGCTGGAGCTGCGAGAGAGCAGGCCTTCGATCCACTGTGGCAATTGTGGAAGAACGGCAGAGCCGAGGACGCCGAGCAGGCGGGAGAAGGCAGACCGGCAGGCCGCCCGGATCTCGTCACTCGTATTGAGCTGGTTCAAAGCAATCAGGATCGCCTCGGAAGCTCTTGTAAACTCGGCCGAGATCTCCTGTGCTGGCTGAGCCCGCGCCTTGGTGTGGCCAAGGGGCGTGTCGGCAAAACCATTGGCCAAAGTACCGAGGGCCATGATAATGTGGTGAATCTGGAGAATGGCTTGCGCATCCCCGGCCTTGGCTCTTTCGAGGTGGACGCTCATATCTGAGAAAAGAGGCTCCATGACAGACCGAGCGTACAAGGCCTGGTCGGCAACAGGGGTGGCAGATGTAGCAGACACGCAGCCAACAGCCTCAAACAAGTAGAGCTGGCCATTGAAGACGGCATCGGCAGAGTGATCAGACTCATCAGAGGACATGTCATCGTCAGCGTCATTACTAGGGACCTCAGCCTTGATGGGCAGCAAGTCGCTGATGGACTCGATCACAGTCTTGGCGACATTGCCCACCTGCGCCCTCAAAGTCTTGACGAAGCGCAAGAACAGGTACCAAGAGCGTGTGCGCACCCTGACGTGCTCATGGTGCACCAGCCTTACGAAGTTCTCAAGGACCCGGGGGATGTAGTTTTGGTGAGACTCAAAGAAGCTGTGATAGCGGACGCAAATCTCCATGTACTGGAGCAAGATAGCTGGGTGGGCGTAGTTGGCAATACCTTTGACGTGTCAGCATTGCTCGTATTCAAGACGGGAAGAAAACTTACCAGAATCAACCATCTTGCTCATCATGAGAGCCAGGCGCTCCGCGGCTACAGGGTTTGGCTGACTCTTGGCAGCCAGTCCCATGTTGGGCAGCGCAAGCTCTCCAAACAGGTACATTTCGTGAAGCGCCAGGTCCAGATCTCTCCAGTCCATCTGAGACCCTTGTTGCTGGAGGGTGGAAAACATGTTTCCGACTAGGTTGCTCATGAACTCCATGCAGAGGTTCTCATCAACGGCAGCAACGCTCTTTTGGAGAATTTGCAGCCTCTTACGCAGCTCCAGAAACTCTGCTTCGTCTGTTTGCTCGTCTTCGAGGCCCCAGTTGGACGTCTCGTCGTACCTCATCTTGAGAACTATGGCGTTCAGGATGGGAGGAAGCATTTCGGCATAGGTCGCCGGAAGAGTCCTGACTTTTCTAAGGAAAGTGAGGAGGTCGGTTAATGAGGGGATAACTGTGGAGCAGACCTCGTCGTACTCGTCCGAGAACAAGCGGAGCAGGGACGGCAGGAAGTATTGCAGAAGCTGCTCAGCCTTCGCCCTCGTATCGTTGTCAACCTTGCCGTCCTCAAGCACGCGAACAATATCTGACATGATGGCGTTGACAAGCTTGGCGACCACCTCGGCCAGATCCGTGTCGTACTGGGAGGTTCCCTTCCACTCATTGAGTGGGGGACTGGCCAGCAATTCTGTGATGATTTCGCGAAGCTGCAAGAAGTTGATCATCTCGATCTTGTCGCTCGCCTTCATTTTCTTGCTGACAATCTCGGTAAAGGTGTCAACAGCTATATCTCTGACCTTGTCCTCGCCACCTGAAGCATTTGACCTCCCGACCAAGGGCAGCAGAAGACCGAGCATTTGTTGGTTGATGACCAGCGAGATGTCGATCCAGCTCACCCATTTCCCAATGATTTTGAGCGTCATCTCAACGACTCCATCGTGCTGGTTGCTGTACCGAGACAGAATATCGGTCCATGACGTGGCAATTTTGGCCATATCTCGCTCACGAATAAGGTCCTTGAGATCACTGTTTCTCTTCGCCTCCTGCTCCTGCCGGCTGAGCATCAAGTCGGCAATCTCGTCGTGAATCGAGCTGAGAATGCGGAGGTATAATATGACGCCAGGGAGGTTGTCATTCTGGGCAATGGCATAAAAGTCCTGAACGAAGCTGCTCCAGTGTTCCCTGTACAAGAAGACAAAGAGGTATGTGAGGGTTTGCGTCAGCTTGTTTTGGAGATGTGCTGGGTCGACCTGACTTTGGGTGTTGCTCGTGTATGTCCGTCCGATATATTCGAGGAGAGACTGCTTCAGGTACACGAGGCTGGCTGCATCCAGGGCTTCTGAATGAACGGCATTGTTTATGATTTCGAGCGAGACTAGTCGTACGACTTCGGACGCTGGGGGGGATCGGGTAAAGAGGCCGATGCAGACCTGCCAGGCCTGGGGGTCTACTCGCAGCTGGTTAAGGTACTCGAAAGCCTGGCCCTTGAGCTCCTGGCTGGAACTAGGGTTCCAGGCGACCTCGATCGCATTCTCGATCTATGAGGGCAGAGCATGTTAGCATGGTCATGCGACACGGCCCAGACGACGGCGACGGTTATCCCTCCTCTGGTGGTAGCGGGGTTGGGAGATTGGGCGCTTTTTGCGGGGAACTAGATCATGGGCTTACCTGGGCGTCCATTGCCGGACACAGTGGTTAATGTGGTGTGTGGTGAGGGATTCGGAGTCCTTATATTTCGGTGGGCTATTATTTTTGATGCGAGGCTGCTATAACTCTGGAAGCTGTGGTGGAGAGCACTCGGCATTCTCAGATACGGCAGATGTGGCGCCGAAGATACATGAGTCGACCTTGCTTCAGTTGGCCTCCATGGTCTGCGGGGAATAAGTAAGGTAGGGCGGCGGTGAGGGATGGGGGGTTGTTCGGATGGAGACGGTGCACAGTTAAAGACACACTCTTGTTCAGTGTGTACAGCCGCGGCGTGAGTTGCTTGGAAGTTTGTTTCTATTTCGACTCGTTCTCAATCTGGGGAAACAAAGCGGTGGATGGAAATGGGATGCTGCAAAAGATGGTGGGGCAGAGGGAGTCAAAAAAGTCAACCTCTACAGTAAAAGGCCAGGCTTCCAGACTGCCACCTGAATTGGTGGGGCACGCGCACGTGCCACCATCCCTCTCTCCTCTCTAAAACACAAGACAATGAATGCCCATTGTGATACACTGCATAGGGATATTCATAAATCCTTTGCTAAACCCCCAACGCCATAACCAGATACATTGGCTTCAAAACAAACCCCTTATTTTCCTTCCTCATAACTACCTCAATCCAAGACCGTCCCCCCGTTGACTCAACCAGTCTTCTTCTTCTTCTTTGGCCGCTCTTCCTCCTCCTCTTCAGCATCTTCCATCTCCTCGTCTTCGTCATCATCCACCTCATTATCAACATCACTCTCTCCGCTGCCTGAACCATCACTTTCGTGATTGCTGTCGTATTCCTCGGCGACGTCGCTGTCCGAGTCAGCCTGGAAGTCCTCATCCACGCTCTCCTCATCTTCGTCGGCCGAGCCGCGATCGGCCTTGTTCTGGACCACTTCCTCGTCTGAGCTGGCCATGTCCTCCGCTCTCATGGCCGCAGCAAGCATGTTGGCATCCTCATCGATTTCGTTCTTAACGCGAAGACCCTTGTACTGGAAGAAGTCCTCGAGTCCCTTAAGATCTTCACGGTTGATGTTGCTAAACTGCGAGTTGCCGCCGCCCTTCATGTGGACTGTTATATCAAACGTCGACAGGGCGGAGACAGCTCCCCCAACGCGAGAGAAGGTGATGGACTGCGTTTGATCGTATGCGATGTAGGTGGCTGGCTTGGGCACGAACATGAACGCCTTTTCCAGGCAGTACAAGAAGCCCTCGCTGGCCTTGATCGAACACTTGATGCCGGACTGGGCCCGGTGTGTCTGGAAGTTTTTGGCAGGTGAGAGAATCTTCTTGCCCGCGAGTCCTCTAAAAATCTGGGCCACCACGCTGTGCAGGGGCTGCTCGTAGTGAGACTCGAGCTTGCCCTTGTACTTCTCGTTGAGGTCTTCTTCAGGGAGGTTCAGATCCAGCGTCACTTCCTCGTCCGTCTTGAACTGCATCACAAGGAATGGATACCTGGTCTGACCCTGGCGCAAGGGTGGATCCAGCCCGATGCAGAGGAGATAGTGAACCTCGTCGGGCTTGGGAAGAACCATGAACTTCTTGATGGCTTCGTACTGGATCTTGTAGTCGTATGTTTTGCCGCGAAGACGAAAGGATGTATCGTACATATCGATATCGAAACGACCTCTTGGCGTGAGGTGCAAGACATCGAGGAAGGTGGCAATCGTGTCGCCGGCCGACTCGCCAATCTCGGCCTTCTCAATGAGGGTGTCGTAGAAGAGAGTGACGGCGTTCTTCTCTTCCTCGTCTGCATCGCTGCCAGCATCACCGCCCTCGGCCTCTTTCCGGGTGGTTGTTCCTGGAATGTAAAACCTCATCTCGACCATCTGGTCCTTTCCGGCGGACGCCTTCTTTCCCTTTCCAGGGGTGGCACCATTCTGACCGGCTTTCCCACCCTCGCCAACAGCAAACTCGACAGCGATTTCGTTTCTGCCGGCAAGGTTGGTGTTGGAGATTTCAGAGTAGGGGATTTCGAAGGCGGGACGGTTCTGGACGTTGAATGTGAGCTCCGCCTTTCCAAACTCGGCCTTGCCCCAGTTCCAGCCGCGCAGCGAATGCTCCTTGTTTTCTAGGTTCGTGCTATACCAGTTCTTGAAGATTTTGCTCAAGCGCTCGTAGTCCTGTTGGGGCGGGGGGCTGTCAGCAGCTGTCTCGGCTTGTGTCAATGTCGAATATTAGGCACCCACCTCTTGCTGAAAACCGTCTAGTTGAATGATGCCCGAATTCCTCTGCAGAATCTTGATCTCGTAGCCCTTGGCGGCTCTGCTCCATTGCGCACCGCCAATGTTGCCCTGATCGAGTGTGAAGGTGTCGCCGCCGCCTACTGGCTTCCAACCGAGACCGGTCTCCGCGAATCTGCACTTTCCGTGCTCCTTGGACAGGTCCAGGTAAATGTTGTCGAAACTCTCACTGCGCAGCGGTCAGTCTGGGAAGCTCAAGCGATCAGGCGCATAGAAATGGAGTTCAGAAGTAAACAACGTACATGGCGGCCATGGTGATGGTTTCCTATCCAAAGTCTCGGAGATGGTTTGGATGGCGTTGTGGGTGACTGGAGGTTGTCGGAGACAAAATTGAAGGCGGCGTCGAAAGAACTTCCACTCGGCGCGCCTCTGAAAGGGAATCGGCACCGTGACGCGACAAGCTAAATTGGTGGTCCGTGTCCCTTTCTTGGCGGCTCTGGGGCAGTAGCTGAACTGCCGGGCGGTGTGGCTTCCAGGACAGCAGGTGGCTTTTGGCTTGCAGGGAAAAGCTTGGGCCAGGAGAGCCCCTAGAAAGGTGGGGGTCAACTCTTTTGTTCACTTTTATCTTGGAGCACCACCTACAACGCTCCCGAGTGTGCGGCTGGACGGCACGTATAAAGAAACATACGTTTGGCTGTCTTATTCTTATGCTCCCCAAATTAGGCCTAGTGAACAAGTGGCTAACAGGGAAACCGCAAAACCGTGAAATATTATCGACTGTTGACTTAGTTTGCAGCCCCAATTTCCCCTACCACGAGTATGCCGTCCATGTAAGTACCTATGTATGCCGTCCACGTTGGGAAACTTTCGCGCCTCAGTGGAAACAACTAATAAAGTTTGGGGCAGAATGTCACGCTCTTGTCCAAAGTTCTCTTTAATCCTGCGTAAGTTTAAGCCCTCTTGCCTCCCTTGCTCGAAAGTGAAGCCCACTTGCTCGAAAGTTAAGCCTACTTACTTAGAAATCGACACCTATCACAAAGTTTAAATACCTGCCACCACCTGTCTCTCCCGATTGCATCCCAAAATCTACTCTCTGGTTCAGAACAGGCTACACCTCATCACCTTCACTGGTTCAGAACAGTCTGCAACGCACCATCTTATCTTTGGTTCAGCTATCCAAGCATCACCGTCAAACCACACCACACACCATCTCTCAAGATACACAGACCAATTCCAAAATGGACGGTTTCAATCTGTCCTAGTTTACCCAGGAAATAAAGGCCTACATGGATCTGCGCTCCACCAACCTGGATACGCGCCTCACCCACATGGAGCAGAGTCTCACCCACATGGAGCAGTTCTTCACCAACATGGATCAGCGCATTAACCAACTCAAGACCTATCGAGACGGGCTTCGCCAACATCAATAGCCGAATGGACAACCTCGATGGCCCACGCAAAGTCTCAACAACCTCACACAATTTGACAGATAAAAAATCTCAGGCACACAATATTGGGCAACAACAACAGCAGGATCTCGACTATTAATACTGCAATCGGCAGAATTGAGGCTTGAATCGATGGTCTCGAGCAGCACATGGGTGTCCTGTACAATCAACTTTCTCGGGAGATCACCAATGCCTCCAAAAATTTTGAGCGAGAAGCATGAAGCATTGCGGCAAGACGTGAACGCAAAGATGAACAAGTTTGAACTGAGAATCAATCGCAAGGTGGACGACCACATGCAGTTGCGGGATATGGTAAGCTTTTTTCACTTTACTTTACCCAGTATCAACATACAAGCACCCCTGCTTTCTTCATACATACGTGTACATAGATACTAACTGCTGTAGGTCATTTTATAGTTTCATGATCGTCGTGAGGCTACTTCGTTTAGTTGACTAGCAAGGCTTTTCGAGCGCCGATAGCGTAACGGGTTTGGTTTGGGTTGAAGGATGGATCTGAGAGCTCAGTACTATTGTGGATGATTGTGGGGCGGATGAGTGAGGTTGAAGTGATCAAGTCAAGCCTCCGAGAAACTACCAGAACATAGAAAAATCAAGGCTCGTTCAAAGTCAGTGTTCAGGATCTGTGTTTTAGTTTTGTAGCTATATCAGCACCCTCCGCACACAACAATTGGCACAGCAAAAGTCAGTTAACCTATATCAAATTGTGAGCCATGCCTCCCAAGGAAAACCAATAGGCCTTTTAGCTATCTTTAAAGGCCTAATAATTTTCCTTCAAGGTATAGTTTACACTATAACAGAGGTAACCTACTTACTTTGGTGCTTATTATTTTGCCC